GCTTCATTGGTATCGGTGGACTGCAGGCTCCAGCCTGCCAGCAAAAAACCACCCAAATCACCAGGAAGCAACCAGGTTTAATTCTTTTTTATAGCCACCATTACCAAAATGTCGCGCTTTGGTCTTGACCTCCTTGGAAGAGAAAACCCGCCGCCGGGCTACTATTCCGATTCCGAATACTGGCGGATTCAGGGGGTTGGTCAACAACCAGCCAATTTAACGGTCAGCCTGGGTTTTTTTTCTTTTTCTTTGTTTCAATGCAATTGGCACTGATTGCTTTCAAAACATCTCAGATTCAGATGATTGATTGCAACACCAGCTACCGGCTGTTTTCACCCAGGGACTCGTCAAAACCTCAGGGGTCTTGGTCGTTGGTCAGTAGCAAACGTAAATTCAAGATTTCGTTCCCAGCAGTCTCTACAAATCTCGAGCAGTTCCGGGAGATTGTGGCGACAGCGAGTGACGAACAGTTCCGTGGTGCCGGCGATTTAATTCGGAACGCTATGCGGTCCGGATTCCCGCAGACTGATTGGAAGATCTCAATGAGTCTCCCAGCAGCCGATGAATTCAAAAAGTCAGCCAAGTATACTGTTAAAGACGACGATACCTTCAATCATTGGATTGCGACCGTCATCAACAATGGGAACGACCGCACTCAGGTAGCCTTGGAAGTTGCGATGGTAAACCCGGGGGGCTTAAAAAAAGACGCTAAGCTGTCCGTTGAGGTGCACAAACATAACCTGAGACAAGCAGCGGCCCAACGTGCCTCATCTTCAACAAGTGGAGAGCCATCCAATCCATCTGTTGTTCCAAGCGATTTCGATGCTATCAACGTCCTCATGAATGAAATCTATGCGGCCCACCCACCGAACGTCAAGTACCAGTCCAAGTTGCCAGTCTATCTCCATCCCACCGATACCGGTCGCTACATTCCATTAACGGCAGGAACGGTCCAGAAGTGGGCCACAGCCCTTGTGTGTAGATCCTCCTTTTTTCTTGTTCTTGTAATCATTAGCTGACTTGTGGATTTCAGCTGAACAACGAAAGTGGAGTATCGCTTCACTCACCCCCAGCGGATCTGAAGTTTGAGAATTTATCTTCTGCAAAGAAGCGTAAACTCAACGATCACTCCAGCAACCCAAGCAACCACCCGGCATCAGATTCCGAAAGCGGTTCCGTTGTTGATCTGGGTATAAACTTACTTGACGAATATCTTGAATTTATCAAGATTCCACCAAGCGACAGGGATGGAATCTCGCACATTCTGACTGAGAATAGAGCCACCAATCCTCAACTCTTCCGATCTAAGAACATCACCCGAGAAGTGATGAAGGAATGGGGCTTACACGACGTCTTCATTGCCCAATTACGAGACAATGTCTCCAAATTTGAAAATTACAAGTCTTCAAACTAGCTCATCTTTTTGATTGAAGAAAAAATCTCACTAAACGTACCACTTTCAATTTCATGTCTTCATTTTACCTCAAGTGTGTAATAGCTATCTTACCCTGATCATACCAATTGCATCAATTTCCTTTATTAACATGATCTGTTTGTTTTATTTAACCAATCTCCTTGAACTTAACCTGATTAGTGTTTACCGATCTCATTGATATTAAGCAAATTTTATTTTTGATCAGTCCAATTTTTTGATTTTTTGTACAAGTCCTGACCAGTCTTAACAACATCTTAACCTTATATTTTTCAATCTCATCGATTTGAAAAGGTGGCATTCTGTTGATATTAACCTCTTTTGATCGGTTTCATCCAAGTGGTAGACTTATATTATCTTATTGTGATCAGAGCTTGTCTTCTATCTTTAATCAACATAACCCAATGGCACACAAGCATTTTTGATGCGATGGATTGAATTATCAAATCGGTTAATGATATCAGTACAAATGCGAGACATAATCAACACCTTATTGGGCAAGAAAGGATGGTTAGCTGTTGATCAAATGATACAAAGGAGTTACAAGTTAAATTTGATACAGACATTGAAGTCGGTCCAGGGTAACTGAAGTCCATGGAGGTTAAAATATCTACCAGCAAGCCCAAGAGGAGTATATGTGACCGAACAGAGAGTGAATAAAGTGAAACACTAAAGAGGAATTGATTGAAAATGAATCCTAGTTGGGTGGGACACAATACCCACAATGCTGATAGAGCTTGTAGCAAAGCTCATCAGTCATGACTTCTGCAGTAACTCGCCTGATTTCATATTCAGGGTCCTCAGCCTGATTCAAGATTTGTGACGATCGGATTTTCTGTTTGATGGCGGCAAAACAAAGCTCGATTGGATTCAATTCTGGGCAGTAGGGAGGGAGGTAAAGTAATTGGACACCAGCTGCTTGACAAAGCTGCTGTACTCGCTCGCCACGATGGTATGTTGCATTATCACAAACTAGTACAGAGTTAGAATCGGGATAGCGATTCATCCGAGGTAGCTGCAGAAATGAATGTCAGCTGGCTTGGTAATGAGAGATGCAACAATGAACTGACCAAGTCGTATTCTAGAAAATGCTCAAATTTACGACCATTGTATGTTTCGAAGGTTGTTGTTAGTGCCACCAGCCCCTCAATCGATATTGCTGGGAGTAGACTCAGGCGAGCAGGATTTTGATTAATGATGAATCGGGCTGAGGGGGTCCCTCGCTCAGACCTGGCAAAGGATCGAAGCAGATCCTTATCACAGAACGAGCTCTCATCTAAATGCAACAAGTAAAAAACATCAGTATCCTGGCCAGTGTCATGAAATTGATAAAAAAAGGAAACTTGCCGGTAAAAACTAGGAAGTCCGCGGGAAAAAATTCCATCTTCTCAACGAATCTATACTTTGCCACCAGTGATTTTTGAATGTTCTTGGTTTCCGGTTTCTTCAAAGTTATCGACAACCGTTCCACAAGATTCCGGTGGACTCCCTCGATGCTGAGGAATACACCACTGGAATCATACAAACGGTCTCGGATTTTGTCTAAAAAGAGACCGGGTTCGGATTGAATGAGTCGGACCATAAATTGACGCTCTTCTGTTGAGAGGGTAGCTGGCCGGCCTCGGGCCTCGTAACTGTCCGGATCCTTGATTACACATCGAGTCTCCTCATAGAGTTGAAGCCATCGTCCGAACGATTGCCGTGAAATCCGGATCCCAAGCAAGGTGCAGATTTCGGAAAGAGATAACCCGTTATGTGCCATTCGAACCGTGGCAAGCTTGGTAGCCGGCTCGTGCAATTGATAGACCATCGGTATCGTTGTTGTTGTCGGGTGAGGCGGGTGTGGTCAAGTGCGTAGGGATCGTAGGGATCAGGATCGATGGGCATATGCCCAACCACAGCTTGCTGGAATGATGTGCGGCTGTGTGAGGCAAAAACCGCCAGATAAAACTGCTGCACAGCAGACGAACTCCATAACTTTGGAGCTTGGAAACATTCCGTTTGTCCAAGCATTCCTCAAAAGACAATAGAGTACTGACCAGGCTTTTGAATAACAGTGGTACAATTTCATGAATCCTCCGAACTCGCTGGCCTGATAACTTGATGATGGTGTACTCCTTTCAAGAGGGTCGTGTCCAAAGTGCGCCATTGAGACAATTTTTGAACCACTATTAATCAGTTGATCGTTTTCAATGGTTTTGGGGGGTGGATTGGAGGTATCGTGCCACCTGGATTGTGAATCGATAACAATGGAGGCTGCTGTGAGTTGTGACAAAGGTGATTGTCAATGACGACATCATGGCTTTGAGAGGCAAAAAAAAAAATCCAAACTTAAATGGTGAAATTCCAGGATTTTCGAATGCAGATCCTGCAAATCCGTCCAAGCATTCTTCAAAACACAATAAGTACCCGCACATTCTAGTTGCCGTCTCTCAATTCCCCTCTCCATACTGGACAGGAGGACTGAGATTTTGGAAAAACCTCGACGTATCATGAGCATACACACAGTGAATTATCCTTCCAAGAAAAAAAAAATCAAAATGAATTGAAGAATCCTTTTTGATTCATGCAAACCTTTGAGATGGCGGGTTACTCTAAACTAGTGACTTGACCGGGACCCCCTACAGTGTGAAGCTCAAGCCTAAAATGATTTTCACATAAAAAATAGTTACAAATGTCTTATGAAAAATTTTCAAACATAACTGAGAATAATCTCAAAAAGAAAAAAAAAGCTGTTTATAATTGGCCCCTAAGTTTAAGACGACGAGATATTTGCAACTTTCCGTTACCCCAGTAGAATTGCGAAGGCCGGACAATTAATCCGAGAGTCAGACTATGGCGGTAGAGGCAAAGATCACTTGCGTGACGAAACATCGGAATGGTGACCACAACCAAGTCCCACGGGCCCGCCCACTCCGCCTGGGAGGTGGCTCGCAAAAAGACTGATTTTCTTGTCCCGTGAATCAACTCGCAAGCGGTTTGAATGAGAATGCCCAGTGCAAGACCGACACTAATCATCAGGACCCGGTCCCCAGTCCGGTCTCACCCATATCGTGATTTCGATCTCGCCTGAAAAACTCCACCCAGCAGCCGCCGGCATCAGCAGGTTGATCATGTTGACCTGCGAAGAGACGCGTGTGTGCCTACTTGAGTGGGCTTGCGACGGGAGAAAAAAAAAGGTCCGCATTCAGGCCAAGTTGAACCTCCGAGGTTATAAAAGGAGGCCTCTCTTCCCCCTCTTCATCCATCCTTTCAGCACCATCGTACCTGCTCCCAACAACTTCCTTCACTCAATATTCCTGAACATAACACTCCATTTGCAACCGCCCCCACAAATTATTCCGTCATCTCCTCTCCTCTGACTGAAAACCTAGTCGCGAGTTTTCCCTCACCCAACCTTTTGCTCATTTAGTCTTTGGTTAACTCTTGTCAGTATCTCAGTATCCTTGAGATTATTTACGTGGTGTTATATCAAGACTTGGTTGCTAATTTTCCCCATCATTTTCTTAGCTAATCACCACTCCCCAAAACTACTTCAAGACCAAGCAGCGCTGCTACTTCACATAAGATGTCTCCTACTTCAGAATGCACTGCAACTTCAAGCCTACCTCCGCCCAAATCTTCATTCAAAACTACCTCACCCGGCCATAGTCCTATCCCAAATCTTTCCCAAACAGACAACCTTCGAGGCCATCAAAGATCTAACCGTGTTCCTTCCGGAGGGAACAGAATCCCCGGCGGTGAACCAACTCAGAGAAGCCACATGGTTTCGGGTGGTACCCAAGTCAGGCACAGTCATTATTCCATCCATATCAATCCGAAGGGCGAATCGATTCGTAGTGGGGGCAGCCCGGCTCCGCTTCAAGTCTCTCGTGCTGATCAAGTCGGACGAAAACATGTATCCACTCATCTTACTCAAGTCCAACCAAGTCAACTTTTGAAAGGCGTGATTCCTCAGCAGAATCGCCTATCAGGTCTGTTTGGCCGATCAGGAGGTACAAGCGATATTAAACCCAAGGAAAATACAAGTCGATTTTGGCAAAAGAAAACCAAAGCCGTCCACAATCCGTGTCATTCCCGCGCGCCACTGGCTCCATGTCTCTCATTCCCCGTGATGATGTTGTCTTCAATCTCTCGCTTGAGCTCTGTCGAGTCGATCAAAATCCTTCCCAAGTTTCACCGCCCAACGTTTCTCCAGAACAAGGGCGCACCGACGAAGGAAACGAAAGAGTCTATCAACTTATCCGCATCATCGTCATCATCATCGCGCTCTCCAAAGATCCATAAGGTTGTTCATAAATATCGGACTCAATGTCACAAGGATGATAAGGAATTTCTGAGGGCCTTCCTGAGGGATGACGGGGACGATCTTGATGGTGAAGACGATGAAGATGAAGATCAATCGCCGAACCCGCTCAAGGCTACTCTCAAGTTCTTCAAAAGAATTCCTCGAGCATTAGACCTCCCACATCCTACTCGGTCGTCATCGTTTGGATCAAGTGGTAGCTCGTCATCTAACGATTCTAGTCAACAATCCTACTCACAGTCAGCTGCCTCGCTAATAACTTCCAGTGTAGCATCATCAAATCATTATTCTTGGAATCGCGCCCAGCGCGCTACCCGTAATCGGACCGAAAGAGAATGTCGGTTGGAATCCTTGGAGTTATAACCTTAAGTTCACTCCTCCTTTATCTAATACTCTGTTTGTCTTTGTTGGATGTTTTTTTTTTCTACTCAAGCTAGCAAAATTTCCTCCTCCCTTCTATGTTTTAACCTTTGTATCTTGTTTTACAAAGGTAAAAAAATCTGATGTGATTTTCAATACGACAGAATTAATGATTGATCTAATTTTGTATGTCAAATGCCCAAATGCAACAGTAATATGTATTCATCCTTTTTAATTGAATTTGAGTGACATCTGAGCAATCTCCATCTAATTTCTGGCCCTGGTAAATGTTGGATTATCACGAGACCCCCGTGAAAATGTTAACAGCGCGCCTGAGGGCCGGGTTAACTAACAGGAAGGGACGCTTAGCCTTCGCGCCGATGATCACAAACTTCTTTGATGTCAAACCCTTTAGAAAGAGGAATATGCAAGCCCTTATTGCCAATCAGATAGTAATTAAATACCCCGCTCCTCCCACTCCATGTAAATTTACTTGAGATTTTGAAAATGCCGCAGCTGCTTCTTCATTTTCAAAAAGTGATATAAGGACAAGAACAGATGAAGGAATTTAAAAGGGATACCTAAAAATTGACTTTTTTTTCTATGGATTCATTATGTAAATAATTATATATATCGATGTATCAACAGATTGAAAATGGTTTGCAATACAAAAAGGGAGCAATTTGGCTTTGATGTATATATAACACCCAAACAAGCAAACTCCAAAAATAAAACAAGTGGTACTCATCATCATCATTATAAAAAAAGGTTATCATAGATCAAATATAGGAAATAATGTACGACACAGGAAGGATAAAAGGAAAAAAAGTGTATATATGCTTCGTTTGAACAAAAATGAAAAAATGAAATGAAAAAATGAAAAAAAAAATGACCAACAGGGTTCATAGAATCACAAATGAGTTGGTTGGTTATCAACATGATTTCTATTCCGGATGATCAGAATGGACATTCTGATCACCAGCATTTATTTGTTTATTGAGAGAGCCCATGATGTTCTCCGAGCCGAGTTCGTCTTCGCCTTCGTCATCCTCGTCATCGTCCTCCAGCACGAGAGCATGCAATTCAATAAGGCATTCGTTATAGATCCGTTTACGTTTCTCGATTGACAGGTTAGTATGGTCGTGAAAATCGTCTGGGAACTTGAGCGAAGCCCGGTTATTGGACTCGCTATCGTCCTCTCGCGCATGGTTGCGATGACTATCATCGGCGTGTTGATGGCTGATGCCGGAGGACATACGGACCGTCGCCGGGTTCCGGTCGTTCAGACATAGCAACTCTAAAAGCTTTCGATACTCTTCAAATCTGTAGTTATCCCCCCTGCGGATTGATTCCATCACCGCCTAAATTTACAGACACATAGTCATCATGCGAGGAAAATGCGTGTCAGTAATCCGCCAGAAAAGAAAAACAGCAAGTCTTCGATCACTGACCTGAGGACCCTTGGAAGCATTCTCCCAAAACTTCCGGCACCGCTCGAAATTTAGATCAAACGAGAGTGATGATTTGACATCGACGGGTAAAATATTGTTTGGGTTCATCTGGAGATCCTTTGATAGTTCTTGATGATGATAGAGAAGACGGTTATTCAACAAGATCGATTTCATATTTTGTTGGAGAGCGATAGAGTTTTTAGCCAATTTTTTAAACCCGATCTCGTTAGCGAGCGAGAGTTTCTTGACATTGGTGATCATCAGATCGTCGATGAGGTTGACAAGACCGAGGAAAGGAAACCTTCGATCCTCCGTTCGGACGAGATTCTTGACGATCGAGCTTTCCGAATAGCCGTTGATCAGACTATTGAGTTCGATGATCTTCAGATCCGGCTCGATCGAATCCGACCGACTCAAGAAGTAATTCCCTCGCACAAAGGTTTGCTCGATGTGATAATAGGTTTCCAATCGCAGTTCGAGATGGATCGTGAATAGGATCGTTTGGGCCAAAGTACAAAATGATCGGTGGACCAATTGAAATCGTCTAAGCTCAATCAACAAGCCGAGTTGATTCCTTGGTCAGTTTGTATTATTTTCCTCTTATATTTGAATTGAGAAACTCACCGCATTAGGGCATGTGTCAAAGGCATTTGAAAGGTTGTTCTCGTTTGCTTCGATTTCTTGATTGAGGGCCCGAACTCTTTGTACCATTCGGCAGTTAAACGTTCACTCTCGAGCCCGGACTCACCTTCTGAATCTGGGATTGATTTGACCGCACTTCCCAGCCGGCGGATAAAAGATATAAACGATAGCTGTTTGTAACAAGCAATTAAATGATACTCAGGACTTCTCACTTCTCTTCAAGTCTGGCATGTCGTGGTCAGAAGACTAACCAAAGTATTATAAAGATGGGCCAATGCGGCAAGTTTCTTTGGAGATTGGATCAAATCAATTGGGACCAAAGCGGCCCGGGAGGTCAGACATCGTTCCTCTGTCTTGCAAAGCTTCTTTAATAACTTCTTCGTACTCGTCTTGCCGGGATATAAGGATGATCGAAGTCATATGCTTAGCGTTGGGACGACTTTTTCACCAAATTTTCAAAGAAACTTCGAATGAGGAGTCGACTTACAGAAGAAGATTTTAATGCTGTCAAGTGTTTGATGAATTCTTGTTTCTGAGCCCAATCGGCTGCAAGCTTCAGATTGGCGTGAGGGTTAGACTCATCTATTATAGCTGTAGTTTCCATTGATTCTCGAACAACTAATTCTAAGAGCGAAGGGCAGGTTGATGTCAAGATATGGTCCTTGAGATTTAATTTGTGAGATATATCATCGAAATAAACGAACCTTTGAAGCGTTCATGACACTTTTGATAATATTGTACCACAATACTGATCATCAATCGGCCGTACTTCTCTTGGTGAAATGATGTGGATTGCAACAAGCTGCCGAGACATTCGATAAGTGCCACTATAGCTCGAAGTGACTGGACCTTTGAATTAGTATCGAGACAACAGATTGCCAAGCAGGCAATAGAATGACACATGAACGAGGGCTAGGACTTTACTTTGGCAACAGGCATAGGTGAACTCATTTTCTGCCGATGAGGCCCTAAGTTCATGTCCGGTGTGTTGGTTTCAAACTGCTGGGATGTATCGTCCTGAAATGCATCAGGTGCTGCATAAAAGGAAGAGGCCAGTAAGCATCAGCCTAGGAAAAACAAATCAGTCTTACTGACCATTAACGGAGTGTTCGAACATATAAATCACTTTCTCCTCTAGCTGAGGTAGAAAGGTGTGTAAGACAAACTCGTCCAAGAATCCCGAGAATCCACCGAATTGGGCCAGATTCATCTGAGCATTGTCGTCCCAATCCTCGCGCGAGATCGAAACAAGCCCGGTCTCATCAGCCCCGGAAATGGGGACAGATGAATGCGAAGTGTCATCGTTTGATACCATGACCACACCACTGGGCAGGACCTCCTTGGCCCGTTTTAGAAACTCCAAGGTCGGCTTGAATAAATGGGCGATGTGGAATGCGTCTGGTTGGACTAGCAGTTTATGGGTACTGTTCCCACGTGCACCCGAGTTATCGTCGGTCATCATCACCCCAGTACTCAAGACCACTGCACCATTTGCTTGTGAATTTGAAGTTGTTGAATCGAGCACCAATCCGGGGACGGAAACCTTCAAAGCCGAATACAGATTAGCCTCGTGAGTCTTGAAATCTTTTTGACTTTGTTTGAGACCCGCATCCTTGAATTTGAACAGTTGCTTGTTGGAATCTTTCCAGGCCATGTTGGCATTGCTCGTCGAAGTGGCCCCACCCAGACCGATCTTCAGCACCTCTGCGATCGATGTCATGGGGTTTCGAGTAGTGGAAGTAGTCGTGGAAGCTTTGTTGTTTGGGTTCGATTGGATTTTATCTGTACCTGCAAACTGATCGTCTCCTGACTCGGTCAGATACGCGTGGATCAATGCTAGTAATTCACTTTGGATTGGTTTCCAAACCTCTAGCAATGAAAACAAGACCAGGTTAGACTCCATGCCTTCTTCTTTGAAGCTCTTTCGTTCACTGATCCGTAGGGAGACTTCGTGAAGGACTCTGAAAGATTGTAGGGTGGCGTCAAACTTAGAATAAAGTGTCCAAAAAAAGTCTTGGAGGATGTGAATGACCGATTCTAATTCCCTCAGCTCGTTATTATTAAATTTGAACAGTGAGAATCGTTGAATTGTTCGATTGGCCGTAGACTTCAGATCTGGGTTCTCAGATGGTGATGGCTGGCTGGTCGTATTCATCAAGACAATCATGTTCATGTTGCTCTTTAGTGCGTTTTTGCTCGCAGACGAGGATCGGAAGAATCGTTTGGTATTCTCGTGTCTTTCATCAACTTCATTTAAAGTGCTTTCGACTAGTGTATAAACTTCGACGGGAACCCGTTGAAGAACAGTATCAAGACCCAGACTGAGTTTTCCAAGAACAGCAAAACTTTCAATCAAACTTTCGATATACTTGAAGGAGTCTAGCTCAGGGTTAGTGGATTGATTTCTTCGCTTCTTGGCGGTCACGCCGCTGGTAGTGGTGGACATTCTTCGGACGTCTTCAGTTCCCAGTTCAGAATGAAGAGAGATAGAAGAAAGTTCTAGGAAGAGATCGGCTTCTTCTACCAGAGGATTTGATTGTGGTTGTGTCATGAGGTCGTTCAGGTAGTTCCGCAGGTGAGGTATTGGGCTAGAGGGCGTGTTGGAATTCTCTATATTTGAATGCTTGGAAGATGATGCTGCAGCATGATACGATGATGGATGAGCGGATGTTGGATCTGGTTCAAATGAGAAACCAAAGGGGGTTGTAGCTGACTCATCGGGTCTATGAATTATTGGCACTGCAACGATATCCACAAACGTTGGAGAGGGTTGGATAATTCAGGTTCATATGAAAAATAAATATAAATCAAAAAGTTAAAAAACAGGACTACTGACATGTAACTTGACCTGGTCGATAGGCCCGCCACTTAGAGTTACAAAAGTAATTTTTGAGGTACAGATGATTATGCAATTCTTCGATCAACATCTCGAACATCACAGACTCTTGATTGACTAGATAACTCCGCAGGTCGCTCAAACCACCAATTTCAGCTAGCTCGGGCTTGTTGATAACTTTCAAGGACCTTACAAGCAGGACTGTTGCAGACAAGAAGCTTTTGGCAGATATCAAGCTTTCGAGCCTCTCAGGCACTTGTTTCAGTCGTTCACTGGGGCGCGTTTGTCGGAGGGGAAAATAAAAACATAATCAGGCGAGATTCGAGGTCAAGATGGGATAGTGATTCATGTGAAATTTCAAACTACGCGCGCACATGGTATCAATCAACTTCAGCATTTCTCGTAGTACCTCCCTTCTTGCTTGAAGCCCTTTCATCTCAGTCCCTTTTCCTCCTACGGCGTTATTGAATGCTGATGAAGGACTACCATTCCCTAAGGTAGCTCTACATTCGACCAGTTTCGATTTGAGTTCAGCCACCTTTTTGTAGTTGCTGTCGACGCTAACCTTGGCCAGTTTGTAACAATTGACAGAAGCATCGAATTGGCGGTAATTTCCTTGAATAGTTAACTGTAAGGCTTTTTCAAGTTCGGCTTTGAGTTGAAGGAATGATGATAAAGAAGGTATCACGCCGCCCTTCTTATTGATCATATCCTTAGCTCGACTTGCAGACTTGGCGAGCTCGGGATTTTCGCTGTCTAGAAGGTCTAATGCTAAGCCAACGGCCGAAAAGGGGACTGCGGTGGGAGTAACCGAGTATCCGAATGGTTCATTTTGGTTTGAAGATCCCGCAATCCCGGTGGCATCCCAGTAAAGCTTAATTTTCTGAAGCACACGCTCGATCTCCCCAAAGCCAGGTGTACGGGGATAGGATTGATCGTGGAACATACTGGGAATTGTACGAGATTCTGATGGGTCCATAAGAGGGGGACTGCGAGTAGCACGGGCTTTTTGAATGGATCGTTTCTCGGCTTGACTGGAAAAGGCTTCGATGATGTTCCGTGCACCATGCATCCTCTTGGCATCTTTCAAATCATTTGCTGATAATAAGTCACGGTTCGCCTCATTGTCAAATGATCCAGTGGACGAAGCAGTTGATGGTCGTTTTACCATATCATTAGAGAATTGGTTACGCGGCTCTGAAGGATAATCGTCATCTCGTGCTCGATAATCTCGATCGAGATAGCCATTCCCATTTGCATGTATTCTTGAAGTTGAATTGGGTGCGCGTGCGATATCCGGTCGACTATTAACGGCCTCGTACAGTCTGTTGTTGCTTCCGCTAGGGGTTTGTCGCGAGCTGGCTAGTCGGTTCGAGGAATCGGAACGTCCACGAGCATGAGTGTAGCGAGTTTCATAGGGGGCACCTTGGGATGGGGCGGGTGAAAAATGCTTGGTTCCAGTTGAGTTGGAGGAAGAGGGTGGATTACTGATGATGATACCAGGTTGACGAGCAGCACTGCGTTGTGGTCTCATGGGCGGTGCCGAGCCAGGGGGCAAGGATGGGTCTTCACGCTCTCGGAAATCATTGGCAGGTGTGGCTGAAGCCGGATACCGCTGAGATCTTGACGATTCGCCGGATTGGGCGTTGGGGGGTGTTTGAGGTTGGAAGGCTCGGAGATCGCGCGCACGCGACATGGTAATTGAGAATGAGGATGAAGACCAATCGAACTGGATAGGATAGAGATCGAGTGGTGAAACGAAGCCTATCAACACAAGTTTATTTCAGTCAGCCAGGTTGTGTAGGTAGATGGGGAGATGTGAGGCAGGATGAGGAGCGCATAAGGAAAGATGTACATACTCTTTTACTGACTTGCAAAACTTGAAGGGAATAGTTGATGCTGGTTGATGTTGATGTTGATGTTGATGTTGCTGAAGGGTGTGATGAAGCAGCCGGGGTGTGTGTGACAGCCTGGATTATGTAAGCCGATGACACCCCCCAGGCCCCAGCCGATCACACCACAATTCAGTATCCGACCAAAAAAGATCTATGATGACCTGCACATTGTGAATGACACATCAATGAAATCCAACTACAGTGAAATGCTACTCTTGGTAATAAGAATTTGAATGGCTGAATTTTTCATGTTTGGACCACCTGGGCAATTCACAATCAATTGGTCACTTTCTAGCAACTGTAAAGATCTACTTTGGTAGTTTGATGAGGTCTTGGATTTTTCTTGAAAGAATGGAATTGATCAGAAACCAATGATGCATTTGTGTCAGATAATATGCTCATTTGATGCTTCATGTGAAGGGGGCTCATGCTTAGCTAATTTCAAAATAAGCAGTCAAACCTTGTCAAAATCAGCCTTGGCTGATTTCCCTTGAAAGTAGTAAGGTTTGGTGGGGAGCCCCTTGGTCAAAATAAGCAACAATTTTGGAAAGATGTGAACTGCCCTATTGAATTATCATGATCAAAAACAAGTTTCATCAGATCAATAATCTTGACCAGATTTTCAATTCATGCAGATGCTGATTTTGAGATATGTATATATTTAGTGAAGAATCAATTTAGTGAAGAATCAACTTTTCTATCATTGATCAAACAATATTAGGGAGTATAAAACATAAGAAGAGGCTTTCAGGTTAATTTACTCCCAAAAATTGGAGAGTTGATTCTCAAACCCCAGGGACATCCAATGGACTGTCTGAGGACCACCCCAGGACATCCTCTCCCAAT